AACTGGTGGGCCTGGTGTCAATAAACAGAACAAACAGAACAAACTGGGCAAAAACTCATCTGCAGAAGCACTAAGAATGTGGTCAATGTTCAGGTAGAGTTCACCAAATTCTATAATTCATCCAGAAAGCTGAAGACTTTCTCCAAACTCAAGAGCTCCATCAGCAATACGTTTTTGAAGGGTTTAAGGAAGGCAATAAGGCTGGAGAGGAGGAGCCCAGGGGAAATAACTCAATGATTTTTTAACGAAACTTAAAAACATTCCCAAAGATTCAGTTTCTGTCCTTTCTTTGTGCCTTGTGGACCATTCATATGTGTAACATGTTGTTTTGGCTGCTGATTGCCTGCTGCATGTCACCTGTAAAACCCAGCTAGTTGGCCTCCTCTAACAGGGCAGTGTCACATGCTGATGCTTGCAGGGCGTGATTTTGCTCCATGGGGTTTTTGGTTATTTCAGCATGTTGCTGGAAACCTGTTCTGCTGCAGTGTAGCCTGGAGATGATTTGCTCTGGCCATTGGGAAGCCCCAGTCTGAGCCTTAGTTTTCATAGGCCTCCATTGGTTTGAGAACAAGGTTGTTGTGATTTCTTTAGTATGGTGATGAGCTTTTTGAAATTCCTCAGACACTAAGACTGAAAATGTAAAACCCCAGCCATTTTGTGATGGGATCCATCTATTGATACCAGGCCAGGACAGCCTTCAGCCAACAGTTTTGGTTGGCCTCCTTTCTCCCTTACAAGTTTGTCACTTCATCTAAAAGCAAAGGCTGAGTTGGCCATCACCCTTGAGTGAATGAGAGGCAGGCTCCAAGGGAATGGCCTATGGTCATGGTCTCTTATGCTCCTCCTAGAATTTGTGCAACAAGTGTCCCATCACTGTGCACTGCATAGGAAGTGGTCAGGATTGACCAGTTTGACCACCGTGGTTGGGTGAGGTGGGCTGGTGGAGGACATTTCGTATTAATTTTATTTCAGAAAAGAAGAAGAAAAAAAAAAAAAGCGTGCAGAACTGTAGGGATAGACAAGGGTTGTAATTGGTAATTTCTTTTTTGTTCGTTTTGCACTAGAAACTATTGAAAGTGTGGCCTAATTTTAAGAAAAATACCCATCCGAGTCTATTCCTTTAAGCCAGCAAACTCACAGCTAAAGGCTGTCCTTGGGACAGGAACCAAAGCTTTGTGTTCCTGGGGTTTTGCATTCCCATGTTTGTTGGATGTAGCCAGGAGACCCCTTTGATTTGTTCTCTTTTTTACTCCTTAGGGCTTTGCCAGAAGGAAATCCTCCTGGCTAAAGTGTTTTTGTAACTATTTTAGCTTTGTGACGATTTATTTCTCCTTCTGACTCTAGGCATCTGAATTGGGTGATTTGAGAAAACAGTCCATTAAAAGGAGGATACTGTAGAGTCTTGATGAATCCTGTTTTCTACTTGGCCGGTGGAACAGAAAGCTAATTGCCAGTAGTAAATCCATTCAAAGGAGGGCTGGAGGGAGGGAGAAAAGCTAATATTCCTCCTTGAATGCCATTTAATCTCTGAAACCTTTCATGCAGATGTAAATTAGGATTTGCACAACAGAGTCAACAGTTGCTCCGTAGATAAGGCAGATTTGCAACATCTGCTTTTCCATTTGAGAAGCCCTTCCAAAGTCGCTGTTGGGGATAGCCAAGCTAAACACTAGAGATTTTTTTTCTCCCATAATCTCTTGCTTTTGGGAAGAAAAAAAAAAAAGGATATGACTTGTGAAATAACCTTGAGAACTGGTCATGGTTGTGCATATTCTCTAGGAAAAAAGTTTGCTTTCCTGCTAGTGCGCATGCATACACATAAAAACAGTCCTGGGAGGCAATAGAACGCAGCACACTTCTTAAGGTCTTTGGAAGAAATATTGACTGGTAACAGTTGCATAGATACTGCAGTGGTAATACTGAATAAACAGTTTACCTGTCTATTATTAGGAAAACTATTTTAAGCTTTTCCAGGGGAACCCCCATCCCACACCAAAGCAAACAAACACAACAGGTGAAAGATAAATTGACCCTTTCAAATGACTGAGGCAAACTGTTTGTGGATATGGTTTCTTAAAGGCAATTTTCTAAATCACAGCTTAGGTTTTTAAGTGAAAGACCAAGTCAGTTTACTTCCAGAAGTATCCAAACTCTGGGGAGAAAAGAGAGATTGATTCCCATTTCTGGCAGTAGGATTGTAGAATCACAAGGTTGGAAAGGACCTACAAGATCATCTAATTCAACCATCCTCCCATTACTGTTCCTACCACAAGACAATAAACCATATCTCTTACCTTTTCATCCAGACACAGCACAGAAACCCTCAGCTCCCACTGTGAGGACACACAGGTAAAATGGCAAATACAGTTTGGACGGAGAAAAATACAAGCCATCAGAGAGCCTCTTGGTGCACGTCAGAGAAAACCCTCCCTGGGATTTCGAGGGGCACGTGAGGGATATTCTACTCAGAGAGCTGAGGGTGCTGAGCCTTGAGCCCTCCACCCTGGGCAGTGTGATCAGGGCCATCTACTTATGAAATGCATGATGAATTGCTATGCCCCAGCTTTGGGATGCTCCCTTGAGGAGGTGGAGCTGAAAGGAATGCTCCCGAACATTGGGATTTTTCAAAAAGTGGAGCTGTAAGAAGATATTTCAGTGGGAAGCTCACAAGTGAAGAGAAGAAACAAGGGAACAAAGTATCCTGGAGCTGAAGGTGACTGCACTGTGCAAGGTGGTATGGGGTCAATGAGCATCCTACAGGCTCTGTCATCCCTCGCTCATGCTTCTGGCATAGCACCTACAAACAGTCCCCAGCCATAGGGAGGGCATCAGCCAAAGTGCAGGAAGGTTTAAAGGGATTTGCTGCTATCCTACAGCGTGGATGGTTCTCTTAGGACCCAGGACTGATGCTTGGGTGATAGGTGTTGTAACCTCAGTCTCTGCTTTTGCATTTGTCATATTTGAAAGCTGGGTGAGGTATTACAATAATAATAGTAAATCTTCATTCTCTGTTAGACAAAATAGTGAAGCACATTCAACTTTGTGGAGGTCTCTGACTTGGGTTCTGTTTGTTTTTTAGCCATAGGTGTGTAAACTGAAATTTGAAATGCTGTTTAAAGAGCTGAAAAATGTCAGTACTGTTCTCGTTTTCAAGTAGCCACTCCTTGAAATCTCTGGATACTGTACTCAGGAGGAATGAAGTCAGTAGGACTGAATACAGTCAGTAGGACCAAGGTGTGCATGCAGTGGGCAACGAGATGTCTGCTGGGGGCCAGCTGAGCTGTCAAGGGGCAGAGATGTCAAAATGAGCAAGAGATGAGATTTCTTTCTTCAGAATAACTGCAAACCCTAATTGTTCTGAGTCAAAAGTGAATTTACTCTTCATTTTGGTATTCCTTTGTAATGTTTTATAAAACTGCATTAGTGCTTTGTCATTCACACACGTTCATTATCACTTTCAGAAAAAAAGTGACTTCCTTTTAAATGACTAAAAAGCCTCATTTGGTTTGTATTCATTCTGGGCTTGTTCCTGTTGGTAGGTTTAAGATGCAAAAGCCAAAACGCACAAGTTACCAAAGGTCAGGTAAAAGCGTGCATTTTGTATGGAGGAATGGTTCAGCTGCATGGGGTTTGTTTTCCAGTAGGTTAAATTAGGAACAGCTTCCATTAGAGTCAAGAAAGATCAGCACCCAGCACTGCATGCAAAGCTGCGTGAGGGACTTTTAATCTAAAGCCAAAGTTGGTGCCATTGAGAAAATACTTATAGTACAGAGAAGGAAGGCTTTATCCTGAAATCAGCAGCTGAAACAGAAAATGCTTCTTTACCTTATGCTGCAAGTTTCTTTTTCTCAACTGTATTTTCCCAAGGAGCTTCTTGATGGGAAGAGACAGTCCATGGGTGAGCACAGAACTGCAGCAGGAGCTGCTCTGAAAGGAGAGAGATGCTGATGCTCCTTCAGCTTCTGTTTTTACTAATAGCATATGCGTTCAGGGAAAATGTTTTCATTAAAAATAATAAAATAATAATAATAATAAAAGAAACCCTTGTCTATATGAATACCACAGCATTCTAGCCAAACCCAGAAATATTTGAGTTGGAGTTGCTGCCAGAGTATAAGGGAAAGGTGCTTTGTGACCCCAATGTGTGTGGGCTTTGCCTACTGTGGGATGATACCTCCCATGAAATACCACATTTTCAGGCCCTTGGAATTCATCATTTTCTCTATGTAAGACTACTGACTGAAGCATTTTTATATTTTTAAAGTTCCATGAGAATGAAAAGTTGCACGACAAGGGGAGAAAAGCAGTACGTTTTTCTTTAATTACCTCCTCCAATTCTTTGACTTAATAGCGGAACAACAACTTCAAGACAAATCATCATCAGAACACCATCCTCAGGTGTTCTGAATTGCTATAATCACATTGGTTTCACAGTAATATTCTAATCTATGCATATATGTAAGCAGCAAAATTAAGATCTCTATTCATATCTGATTATTATCAGAGGTAAAATTGGGCCACCTGAGTTTAGATCATGGGAATAGATTTGTTTTGCATTACTTATTTGTTAGTTATATAATCGTAGCACCAGAGAGTCTTTGCTAGGAATTAGCATCCCATAGTGTACAAAACCAAGAAGACTTGTGCCTGGCAGAGCATGACTTCTCAGAGCTGCTGTAAGCTGGAAGAAGCATGAGATGTGTAATGAGAAAATGTTGGCTTTGTACATCACTGTATGTGAGTCTGAAGACGGTCAAACCATCATGCCTCGTGTTCCTTTGTGGGAAGCCTTCTGAGCTCAGACTTTTCCTTTTGTTATTGCTCTACTGTAAAACAGAATTGTGCAGCCCATGACAGGATTCGCTGTCATCACTAGTGTGAGAGTCTTCTGAACACATGGAAGCATCTGTAGAGCAAATACAATATACTTTTAAAAATACTCTTTCATCCTCTGATACGTACTCTTATTTACTCATTTCCCTCTCTTTTTCCCTTTGCAGAATACTTGAGAAGTGAGACCGCCTTTCTGGAAGAGTTGGTGTTTGGAAGTGGAGATACCATTGAACTTTCCTGTAACACTCAAAGCTCTTCTGTGTCAGTTTTCTGGTTTAAAGATGGTATTGGGATTGCACCTTCCAACAGAACTCATATTGGACAAAAACTGTTGAAGATAATCAATGTGTCATATGATGATTCGGGGCTGTACAGTTGCAAGCCAAGGCATTCCAACGAGGTCCTGGGAAACTTTACAGTCAGAGTGACAGGTATGTGCAGAAATAGAGTAGATTTGCAGTTGGCTTTTTTGTGTGTGTGTGTATTTTGCCCTTTCACTTGTTCAGCATAGCTGGTGAGCTGCAGCTTTTTGTCCCTTCTTGGTAGGTCTGTACCTCCCCACCAAGCCCTGGCAGTAATCATTCTGACCAAACAAAACAACTATCAAAGAATGCATATGTGTTAGTACCAAGTGTTAAAAGCTCGATGTTGAGATTGAGAGAGACTTGGAAACGGTGCTGGTCAGATTAAGCTCCCGATCCCCCTTAACACTCAGATAGGCACAATGCTATGTGTGCCTTTGAAGTGTGAGTGAGTGAGCTGTGGCTCAGAGAGGTTAAATGACTTTTTTTTTACTTTGTGTGGCAAATCATTGGCAAAATTGCATGTTAAAGCTGGAGATCTTTAAAACTGTTTCCATATTCTAGAATGCTTGTGAAATAGCTTAGATTGGAAGGGACACTAAAGATCGTGGACCTCCTCCTTCCATCCCAGTTGTCACAAGTTACTAGTTTTTTCAGAAGTAGAGGAACTTACTGCTAGCCATGTGCCTCAGACAAGTGGTGCATTAGCAAAGCACTTGCTGTCATTTGCACGTCTGTATTTTCCATGATGAGGACAATAGGACAGAACAGCTACAAGCCTGTATCACTCTACTGTGCCAGAAAAATCCATTATTCCCAGATAACAAACAAATAATGCTAAGATCATCTTGATTTCAGCCTGCTGCATTGGTACAGTGCTCATAATTGTGAGCTTTCTTATCACATAGCTTCCAGGCCTGAATTTTCACAAGGATTAACCTTTTGTGGATCTAAGGTTCTGAAAACTTTCCTTCCCCCATAGGTTCCAAAACCTGAGTTCCTTCAAACATCACCAAGCTCTATTTGAAAAGGTTGTGACAAAGGGGGAATCAGCCTCTTTTACCCAGGTAGCTAGAGGTATGATGAGAGGGAATGGCTTCACGTTGTGCCAGGAGAGATTCACATTGGATATAAGGAAAATGTCTTCCCTGAAAGAGTGGTCAAGCACTGGGACAGGCTGCCCAGGGAGGTAGTGGAGTCACTGTCCTTGGTTCAAGAAAGGTGGAGATGTGGTTCTTAGGGACATGGTTAGTGGGCAGTATTGATGGTAGGTGGATGGTTGGACTAGATCATCTTAGAGGTCTTTTCCAATCTAATTCTATGAAAACTGAACACAGGGGTATCTGTGATAGCAAATCGTGTCTGTTCCATAAAGTTCTTTTTCCTACCAGAAGTGGGATTTGTGTGGGAGAATCAAACCATCGTAAGAATAAAAGCCTGTTTCAGCAACCCTTTGCCAACATCTGCTTTTCATTGAATGTTACTGGAGAGTGCTGTGAATGCTTCAAGGTCATATCAATTAAATGGTTGAAGAAGTATTTGGCCCTTGAAAGGCTTTCTTTAACTAGGTATGATTACTGGGACTACCCAAGGAACTGCAGGTTGTTAGAAATGTTACTCTCTCTTTTTTTTTAAGTGACATTAAAATGCTTTTGAGTTCAAGGGGCAGCAGGGAGGCAGAAGAGGGCAGCTGGTTCCACATTCAAGTGAAACAGCTGCCAGCCCCAAAAGTTTGTAAAGTGAGAAATTGTTTTTAATAGTGGAAGGGCTCATAATCCTCTGCTTTTTAAAAGTTTAAGCCCCTGTGTTTTTCCTCTTCACTAATAATAGCTAATAACAGCTTAAGAACAAGCGAGTAACCTGAACCTGCTTTCTGACAGCACTAGGAATCTTTGATTCTATTAGCTCGCTGTCATTACCATCGAAGTGCTGGCAATGTGGGAGTCTCTGTTTTAGCTGTCAGCAGCGCTCCTTTTGAGCTTTGAAGCCCTGCTGTATGTGGCAATAGTGGCGCCTCTCGTGCATGCAGATATTTCTTTGTAATTATTATTGATTGCTCTGTGTTCTGCTGCAGAGAGGAGATCATTATCTGAGATCTGTGGTTTGTGTTCCCACTTTGTGAAGGTAACTCCAGCGATGAGCTTGGATATCTGGTTAGGTGTTCATGTGGTTGTCTGATGTTCGAGATTGGAGGTGTTCTCTGTGTTAAAGTGGATCCAATCTGTGCTCCAAAGTGAACAAAAGCAGGCTGGGTTGACAAGGTGTAATGCTGAAAATGGCCAATAGGCACTTAAGTCCCTTTTTGTGAGCTGCTTGCAGATCCTGGCAGGGCAGTGGACTTACTGAACACACTCTGCAAACCCTTCTGGGTTTGTGATGGGGACAGCGCGTGGTGGTGAAGGGTGGGCTGCACAGAGCAGGTTTTGGCATTAGGAAGCAGCCTGTACCTGAGGAGATAGAAGCTGCTACTGCACAGTGAAAACTAGTCTGATAACTAACAGGTTTAATTTCTTCAGAATGCCTCCATTGACAGACATGGGCTTGATTGCTTTATGAGTTTACAAGATGAAATATACTGCTCTCTTAAAACATGAGCGCTTGGTGTGGATCACAAATAGGGGCTGCATGCCCAAACTGATCTCTTGTTGACAGAGGCTCTGTTTCTGCAGCCATTTCATACACTCCCTTGGGATCTAGGGTCCGACAGCAGCCCTGCAGTAAGCAAAAAAGATATTTCAAGGTACCCGAGACAAAATTCCTTCCTGCTCATAAATAGAGCCATTTCGGAATAGCATCCAGCAGTTCCTACAGATGCCAATACTGGTTGTCTTTTGGAAGGAAATACAGTTTTTGTAAATGATTAATAAATAGCTTATAGATTCTTAGTCACTTATTGAAGAAGGAGACTTTTAGTAATCTGAATAGAAGCATAGCTCTGAGCATGGGATATTTTGTGTTAAAACCCAGGCTGCAGCTTCCCTGAAAAGCTCTCATGTGAAGCACAAGTGGGGTCAAAATCAAGGAGAATGGAATTGAATTGTATTATTCTTACGAGTCCCTTCCAACTTGGGATATTCTATGATTCTGTGATTCTCTCCTTTGATCTTGTGGAAGCATTTTGAATTGATTTAAAGATTGATTCTGCTGTTTTGGTCCTCATTGGCTCATTTGAAACCAGAAGAAAACTTCAATGGCATGTTAATATAGAGGTAACCAAATTTCAGAGCACAGGGCTGAGAACGTACTCGTTCATCCAGTGTTGGTGGGTGTTTGGCAGGGCTTCTGCCTTCGCCAGGACTTGAATAAACCTGCTGTTTCAGCCGAAACGCCTCAACAGACACTTCACTCTCAGCAAGCCCCATGGCATTTCCCTGGTGCTGCTGCCAGCAGGACCTCAGCTGCGGTGTGCAGTTGGGTACGTGCTGCAGGGCTGGGGGCTGAGCCAAGGAGAAGGTGCAGCGCATGATGCGCAGCCGCGTGCTGATGGAGGGAGATGATTCCTGGCTTATTGCTCCTATATGCGGTGAATACATTTGGAAATACCCTCCAGATTCTGCAGAGATGTGATATTTATTATCAACTTTCTCCTCCTTCTGTTTTTTCTACCTCCGTGCATTTTTATCACCTGGAGAAGAGTGTCCAGTTCTCCAACCAAAATGCAGTGGGTCATAGAAGGAAGGAGCTCTGCCCGGGTCGGCCTGAATCGGTGCTTTGCTGTTCTGGCACATGTTAAACACTCATAAAGTTTCCTGTTTGCTGCTGTTTCATGCCAAGTGCTTTTACCTCTGTCTCAGAATATAAATGCTGTTGCGTTGTTAGCATTTTGCTTTTATTTAAAAAAGAAATTCCTGGAGATTATATAAAGTCAGAAGACACTAAATCTTCCAGACACTGAATTGTGCTAAATAGTGCAAACTGAATGAAACACTAAGCTGCTGTTTTATCACGGGATTCACATCTACGAACTGAAGCTTCATTGTGCGCAGCCTGGAGAAGGTGAGATGCTAGATCACATTCAGAGAATGAATACAGAAAGTTTTAGAGATACACTGATGGAAAATTCCCACCTGCTAACCTGGATTCAGTTACAGCCTCGAGGTTTATCTGTGGAAGGAACATAAACGAAAGGAGCTGGTTCATGGAGCAGCCATCAAAATGTCTGTCTAGAGAGAGGTTCAATTTCAAGGGGAAGTTTTAAAAGCTTTAGTTGAGTCGTTTAGCAAGGAGTTAACACAGGAGGATGTAGCAGCAATGTATTGAGTTAAAAGAGTACAGAATGAGTTGGAAATGCTGACCTGTCATTCTGAGACTTGGTGAAACAAAAAGTCTGTAAGAGTGAATGCTAGGGAAAAAAAGCGGGGGAGAGCTTGTTCTGAAGAAAGAAACCTTCTCTTTTGGAACTGCCTTTATATTTAGGAAGAGAGCTCTTTGCACATCGAAAAGTAGCTGGCACTGACCCCTGCTCTGTGGTGGCAGAGCACTGGCAAACTTGTGTCACTTTTCTCCTTTTGGAAAGCTCTTGGATGCTTACCCCAGAGTGTTAGAGCTGCAGGAAGGGGGACGTCACCCACATGTCATCCAAGTCCCTCCTTACTGGAGCCCACTGTGGCATCCACAGTCTCATCCAGCCTCATCTCCATGTGTTGTCCTTTTTCTGCTTCATGTCTTTCTCCTTCTTCTCCTAGATTCCCCTTCGTCAGGTGATGATGAAGATGATGATGATGAGTCAGAGGATACAGGTAATTTGTTTCTCCAGGATACAGAGTTTTTTTAAGCAGAGATATGGCTGCCGTGTGGCATGGTTCAGACATTTGCATCCACCCGTGTTGAAATGGATGTTCTCAGGACAGGAGCACAAACTCTTGGGTTCTGGCACCAGAAATTTAAAAATAACTGCCAGAGTGGTGTAGCTGCTCCAGTATCTTGTGGCTTGATTTTTTTGGTTACTTAATTCTGTTAATTTGTCTCAAGTTTGGGTTATCAGTTCTCCTTGCATGTAAATTCCAGAGTAACTCATTCTGTCATCATGTTTTTTTACTATGCTGAAGTTACACCTTGCAGTTACACATCACAAAACTCAGCCTGCTTTGTTTTTATCGGGTTTAACTCTGGTCCTAATGAGCATCTCAGCTGGAGGCAGAGGCAGCTTGGAGAATAAAATCGGCACTAGCCAAGCACCAAATTTACAGCTGCCATAAGCAGGAGCTGTAAGCAAACCCCCTCTGGATTTTCTTCAACTTCTATGAGGAAGGGAGCCCCAGAAGAGAGCCTCAGTGCTTCCACACTAAACCTCATTCAGTCGCAGAGCTTGTTTCTCTAAGTGCAGTATCATTAATCAGGATCATTACATGCTTCATAGGCGTTAGTGTTGTGCTTTATTATGCTTTTTATATTTCTGAAAAGCGAGCTGCCTGTGCTTATGTGTTTTTAATAAATAAATGTCTTGCATTTGAACTCCAAATCAGCTATGTACATTGGCAGAAGTTCAGCATGACTGGAAAATTTCTCCTGCCCACAGCATTTGACATGGAGGGCTCTTTAAAACAGGTCTCCCACTGTAATAAATTTGTGCCGCTGTGTCGTGCAGCGTGAGGACAGTAATTGTGAGGTACAGTGCCAGGCAGCCCATCAGCAGCAGTTAGTGGTTTTCTGATAGCCTTTAATTAGGGGGCTGGATGCTGTGAGTTGAAGAGCACCTTTGCAGAGGTGCTCAGTGCTCCTGATGCCAACTGAAGCCCATTGGAGTCATGGGAAGGGGCAGCTTTGCTCAGGGTTTGCTCCTCTGCAGACCAGCTTCTGATAAGCGCAGTACATCGCTCTGTGCTTTTTTAATGTGATCTGTAGTAAACTCTATCTCTTAGCAGCAGGTATCACAAAACACGAGCTGTTTTATGGTACAGAAAGACATGTTTTTTTTCACCAAGAGGGAAAACACGCATTTCACCACATGTATTTATAGCCTGTATTCTGGGTCTTCTTGACTTCAAGACAGTCTCTTTTTTTAGATCCAAAGGTATCCACTGGCTTTGCTTAAAGGACTCACTATAAAAAGTTAGATTCTCTTTTGCTTTAAAAACTGTTGATTAGCTTAACATACCAGAGAGGTGAAGCCTTGTGTTGTGAAGTGACACGAATGTGCTTTATGTTGCTTTGTTTAATGTCAGACCCTCCAGTTAACATTGACAGATCTTTTGAATCTGAGGAGCTGTGTGTTAGCCTCGGCATCACTGCCACCACTGGGACATCTCAGCAGGGACAGAGACTGCTAGGTCATCGCACACAGGGGGGCATGGCTGTTGCTAGTGCCACGTCCCAGAGTCCCATGTCCTTCATCTCTTGAGGCAAAAAGTACTCTCATGAAGTGTATGAGCTCTTGCCTGGCTATCAGACATCACCAGGGTCAGGAGTTAAAGGAGTGAGGGCAAAAAAATGCCTTTCATGCAAAAGCATGATATAACCAAGAGTTATTCCTATGCAGAGAGAGATAATGTGTCCAGGACTGACTTACTGTGTGTTGCCTATTTTGCACGTCACAGTAATAATATATCCTGTTCTCATGTAACACTGTGATTTTCTGGTTCCTGTTGTTTAAGAGTTTTTTACCCTTGTGTTTATAGAGAGGGGCTTGAAGAGCTGATACTGACATGAGTTTAAAGCCCGTCGTATTGATTTGGGAGATTACACCCAAGGTTGCTGAAATTCAAACTGTAATTAACCAAAGCCAGGGTGATGAGAGGAAATTCCACCTAAAGGAAATAAGTATTTGGTGTATCTTGGAGAGCATGGAGACAGCATCCCTTAGGGACAGACAGCCGAAGGGAGGAAAGAGGAAGCTCAGCAACTTCATATTGTCCCGTTTGTTGCAGCCTTGTCACAAACTGTGATCTGCTTTTGGAAAAAGAGGCTTCCCAGTACCTCTGTTCTTTACAGCTGTTTTTCCTGGCTCTGGAACAAAAAACCAAGCTCCATTTTCACACAGTGCTCTTCTGCCCCAGTGCTCCCTATCCCTCTGTATCTGTTTGTTTAGAGCCCCTGCTGTGTAGCCCCAGCACCTTCAAAGAGCCCCTATAATCTCCAATTAAATCTGGCTGTGTACTCAGAGGCGTCAGCTGGGGAAATTACACAATTAGGGTTGATTCTGTCTGCTGCAAAATTTTGTGGCTGCTACTAATTGCTAAATGAGCGCTTGGCTGTATTAATTATTCCAAGTACTCCTCTTGGTTTTTTAATTGGTCATTCCAGGTGGATGGGTGGCCAGTGTCTGACAAACAAAACGGACCGGCGGGCTTAGTGCTCGATGATGGGAAAGGGCTGGCAACAGTCTTTGCGGGTCCCTTTTTTCACACCTGCACACGCGGAATCATTGCTTGTCATTAATTCAGAGCAAGCAGCTCAAAAAAAAATTTTTTTTTCTGTCTTCCATTCTTTCTCATTCCCAAAGCTCTCTGGAACTTTGCAAGCTTTGTGTGAAAAGAAGAGTTAAAATTTTCACCCCCTTTAAAAAGCAGTGATGAAAGGACTCTTGGGGCACAGTAGACCAAGTGCTGATGTTTTGTTTGCTACTCCTGAGAGTAAGAACAAAGGCACTGTTCTGAATGCCTTGGCACTTCTTGCCAGTTGCAGCTTGACATGTGCTATGGTGTGATTGGTGTGTTAATCTGGGAGTGCTAAGCCCTGCAAGCCCCAAATCACATGGGAGAGGACCCAAATGGCAGAGATGCACTTGGGGAAGAACCCATGTCTGATGATCAGAGCTCACTTGGAGAAGATCCCAGGATACTTAGTAAAACAGCAAGCAGCAGGTTATAGAATCATAGCATTACGTGGAAGGAGCCCATAAGGATCATCGAGTCCGATGTGTGGAAGAGCTTGTAGGGCTACTGTTCTCTGCAGCAGTGCATGGGGATGTCTCCATCAGCACTTGGCCTCTCCCAGAACCCACTCTGTGTGTAAAGTCCCTGGGAAGTCAGGGTGCACTGCCAAAAGGAAGTGTTTCACTGAAAAATAGCAGGAAGAAGAACAGGGATGGGTCCGTCCCTGTGCCCACATTCCTTTGATGAGTGCAGGTGACTGATGGGAGTCATGACATGTAGTGTGAGGCAGTCTGAGGGCAAATGAAAGCCATTAATACTGAATTTTCACCCCTGGCAAGGCTGTGGCACTGCCAGGGTACCACTGTCCAGCAATCTGGCCTCAGCTCTCTGAAAGCAGGTAAGATACAGTAGCAATGCACCTGGATACCAAAGGGAAACCAGGCTACATAGAGTGAATCAGCAGGTGCTAGAATGGTGCATGTCAGAGCAGAGCCTGCCTGAAACATCCCAGGAGCTGAAGCTAAATGATGTTCTGAGAACCCTGATCTAGCTGTTGTTGTCCCTGTTCATTGCAGGGAAGTTGGCCTGGGTGACCTTTAAGGGTCCCTTCCAACTCAAACGATTTTGTGATCCAATGAGTGAAATCCACTGAGAGGCTCTGGTGTTGGTCAGGCCTGCTTCTTTTGGTCATGTTTGTCAAAGGCTTTCAAAATCCCTAATCCTTGTTCATTCCTGGAAATACAGAATGCAGTGATGTATGAGCAGTGTTTGTCATGCATTTTTTGTCTAGTTCCGGGCAAGGGGGCTTACTTGCAGTCAATACAGGATGGAGCCAAACACATCAGGGCATACTGCACTGCGGAGCTCCTGAGAAAATGAAGAGCTCAAGTGCATCTTGGAGCAGCTTAAAATGAGAGAGAAGACCTTGCATACCGTTGTAATGAAGGGGGTCTTCTCTGGTGGAGTTTCATTGCTGTTTTGCAAAGCAAACACCATGTGTACCCATCTCCCTTTGGCATTGGCTGAAGGTGCCTCACCATGGCAGGGGAACACAGCAAGCTGAGCTCTGCACTGCTTCCTTAAGCAGAAATGAAAGTTTGTTTTTAAAGCTTTCTCTTTCTTTCTTTCTTTCTGTCTTTCATTCCTGTGTAATAAGTTTGCTGCTGCTGCTGCCCTAATTTGGAGTTAATATGTAATGTTTGTAACAGTGCCAAGAAACATTGCTGTACTTTAGGCAGATTATAAAAGTATCTTATACTAACACTGGTATTTTAAAACTTATCCCTGTTCAAAGGTAACATGAATCTTTAAAACTAAAATCACTTGAACTTTCTGAACATAAACGTGATAAACCAGTTTGGCACTGGCTTCTTTCCCTTTCCTTCCCTTAAGGAGGCTGCACTATGTTTGTGCTCACCGAGAAGCAAAACTTTCCAAAGCACTCAGTTAGTTCTTTTTCTCTGCATTCTCACTCTCTCTTTTTACAGTTCCAACATCTTTCTGCTGTTCTTGTTTCTTGGCTACTATTGTCCCAGTGGTACATCTGTATCTTTTTACCGAGGCCAGATCCTCACTCTGATAGCTCTCTCCCTGTTGATTTAAAAGCAGGTATTCTACATTTATACCAGCATTACCAAGACAAGAACCTGGTCATGAACCTTTCATCACAAACCTAAAATGCAAACACTCTGTCTACGTATATAAGAGTCATTTAGCTGGAAAGCATTTCTGTGTCATTTATCTTAACTGCAGCAGGTAGCAATTTAACTGTCACTCTGCACATGCCAAAGCCTCTCAAATGCATCTGCTCAGCAGCTGATATCCTCTACTGCATAAATAGGCTTTTTCATCTTGTCTTCTTTTCCTCAGGTGTCCCCTTCTGGACCAGACCAGATAAGATGGAGAAAAAGCTGCTGGCAGTTCCTGCTGCCAACACTGTTCGTTTCCGATGTCCAGCAGGTGGAAATCCAACTCCCACCATCTACTGGCTGAAGAATGGCAAAGAGTTCAAGGGGGAGCACAGGATCGGGGGCATCAAGGTAAGGCCTCAGTTTGGGTCTATTGCAGAGGTTTTCTACAAACTGTAGGAGATGGTGTTTTGCTGTGACGAACATGGGTACATGGAAGAGCATGATGACAGCTGTGCTGGAAAAGAAGTGTTTCTGGCGGGCCTTGCAACTGCTCAACATGGAAATGTTAGTTAAGGTTGCTGTCCATTGGGATTTAAGACTAGTTGCCTTTGAGTTTGTTTACACTGACTATTGATGGATTAGTTAAAAAAAGGATAAGTGTACTGGGTGCATTGTAGACGGTAATGAGAAAGTAGCTTCAGAAGCTTCCATCCTTTTTTATGGAGATTAGCCTGGGACACTGTGCATGACAAGCTATAGCTACTCCCAGTTTCCAAAGTCAAATGACTGTGCCATGGTTGAAGGTGTGGGAAGGACCTCACCAAAGGGCTGTGCTGGTGGTCATTCATATTCCTGTGGAATAAATCATTGATCCCTGGTCAAGTGTAGGATCCTCCTGTATCCATAGTAATAGCAATCTGGTACTTGGTTTTTTCCTTCTCCCTCTTTCCTTTCTACCAGACAGTGTTCTGGAAAATACTCTGACTTGAGTGCGCAACATAACCCAGTGCACTCAAGTGATTGAATTATCCAGAAGTTTCTTTGCTACTGTACATGACAAATAACAGGATTTTAACTAGAAAGTCAGCTACTGCAATTTTTTCTATTCTTTCTTTGTCCCCTGAAGGTCACAATCAAGACATATTTAGGAGGAGTACAGCTGGCAAAGCTGAGTATAACAATATCAGACTCTGAGCAATTATTTTCAGCTTGCACTCCGCCAGCCCTGGCATCTCTCTGAGCTAGTTCCGAGGAAAGAAGGGGATTTTTCAGAAGGCACCTTCACTAGAACCTTAAATAGCTCTATGCTGATGCCTACCACATCTGTAACCCTCTCAAAAGGGCTCGGCATGCAGAGCGTGCAGGGCTCCAGAAATCAGAAAATGATTTGAAAAAGCATTCCCTCTCCACCGTTTTTGGACTGTTTCTTTCCTGTTAGCTTAGGCCCATTTCTGAAAGAGCCCATTGTGGTCGTTTCAGTAAAGCCTTTGAAGGTCCCTCCTCAGCCCTGTCCCTGTTCCAGCCTGGACGAGGCTCAGAGCACACTTGGTTTTAGATCTGAAAATTTAAGGAGAGCGAAGATGTGGGGAAGCAACTCCTGTCTATAAGCAGTCTTACAGCAGAAAACATTCATGAAGCACAAGCATCTTTTACTAATTGTATGCTGTAAGGATCATCATGAAGTGTTTTCAGGCTTGCGTGCGCTGTTTAAATGGCTTTTTACAAAAGTATGTGACATCAGCTGCACTAAATTATGCTTGCAGAATAAAATGTGAAGCTGAAAGCAATTCCCCTACCCCCTTCCCAGTGGTTTTAATCTATCCTTGAGTTTAAATTGACACATTTCATCCTCTGCAACATGGTAGTGAGTCTTTGGCATTGCTATGCTTTGTTTCTCTAGGGGCACCTTCCAGCAACAAGCCAGTGCTTAAAGAGCTGTTAAAGGCGATGTCAGGCCAATTACAGCAAGATTGGTTTAAGCTTTCTGCCTAGTTATAGTTCCTTGTCCTTCTCATGATATAAAGACATCTTTCTCTTTCTGTAATTTTCCTTCTCATATTTGCTTGCTTTTGCTCTTGAGCCATAGTTAGCTGTAAGTAGTCTGATGCAAATCTCATCCAATATAAATATACTGATAGATATCAGCTGAGATTTGAACCAGAAGAAGTTGAAAACCTGTTCAGTATCTCATTTATTTAAGATTTAAATTCCCTGTTACAACTTAGCTTCATAACAGGATTAGGCAGCTTGAAAACAATGGGCAATATCCAGATCTGGCAGCGTTTGGTTGGCTTGCTTCATGTCAAGATCTGGTCTTAACCCAGAAATCATTGAGCTGGGAATTTTTTCATTTGTTCTCAACATGCATGAGAATTTAAACATTGATTGTGAAAGGTGTGCGGCCAGTAGTTGAAAGTTGACTACTGTTCTATTTCTACCTCTTGCAAATGGCATTTAGATCCTGTGTGATTGTCAGAGCCCTCTTTAAATTCTGTAAGAGAGAAGGGCAAGTGTTGAAAACATGAAACCTGGGTTAAACTGGGCTTCTTACAGTTCATCCTTAACTGATAGAGGAAAGAAATTCATATGACTTATCATATGAAATTTCCCAAAGAGCATTAATGATTAAATCCTTGTTGGAATCCCTAATATTGTAAGCCTGTGTGTGTTAAATGACCCTAGAAGGAAAGATCCAGGGGGAGGGGAGGTAGAAGATTATCCCTTCCCCAGACCATCACATTGACTTGCATACCAGTCTGGCAAACACTCACTGAGTTTCCAAGCGTGTCTGCAAATGTTTGTTTCACAAGAAGCCAAGAATGACAACACCAAATAAACCAGAGGGATTTCTAGTATCTCACCAACTTGATTAATAGCTGCACTAAATCATGTCATGTTTCTAGTGTTCTATCAAGTACGGTAAGCATGCTAAGTTGGGAACATGCCTTTTTATTATCCGTTACATCAAGACCTTTAAAAAGCACTATTGCTTCTAGAAGAGTTTTCTCCCAGAGTTCGTGCCCCCAGGTTCACATCTTTGTTCAGAGTCCAAAGTCCCTGTTACAAACCCGGTGATAAAAAGGTCCTTGAAAGTAAATACAAGTAAAAGACCTAATTTGGACCTGATTCTATAACACATTTTAGACTAGGGAGTTAGCCAGGTGTCTGGAGTCCCAGTTCCTTGGAGCAGTTCCTTGGGGTTCCATAGGCAAATGCAGTGCTGAAGAGTGGATTAGAAGAAGTCTTTAGATACATCTAAGAGACAAACATGTATAGACATAAGCTACTAAGCAGCAACAAATTTGCATTCAAACTTTCTTGATAGTTCAGATAGAATGTTCAGATATGAACTTGGGGTTCAGCTCTTACAGCTCTTGTTGCCCTGTAATTTCAGTGCTGTTAGAGATGAACCAAGTGGAATGTTGCTTTACAAAAGGTGAAATGTTAGTTCTGCATTGAACTTTGTTATGTGCCGTTCTGGGTGGACAGTGGGTACAGTCAGACATCTGCAACAACCATGGCTCCTCTGAAGACTAAAGCCATGGCCTCCTGCTACATATATAGAATCACAGAACCTTTTGAGTTGGAACCTATAAAAGTCTCCTAGTCCAACTCCCCTGCAATGAACAGGGAAATCTACAGCTAGATCGTGTTGCTCAGAGCCCCATCCAGCCTGACCAATGCTGACATCTGAAAAGTAGGATTCTCAGCACTGCTATTCCAGGAACGTAGAGGTGTACAAGGCATGGGGCTTCGTCAGAATGGCTTTTTGCTAAACAAGCTGTTTAAACTGTTAGGTCACATGACTCTAAATCTTCTCTTTCCAAAATTCTGTCTTTAATTGCAACTTGGCCCTTTAAAGGAAAGAGTGTAGATGCAATTTATATGTAGCAAAAGAGGTTAAATAGCTTCATATTTGAGTTTACCTGCTGCAGCAAGGAAACTCCAGGAGCAGTTGCATCTTTGTTTTTTTCCATGAGCCTTTGACATTCTATAGCTCACCATTACTGTAAACTCTGGCTTCTGTATCCTTGGAGTCACCTCCTCAATGTTTAATGAAGTTAAAAGTCCTGATCAGAGAGGCAGAGACATCAAATGAATACTCACAGATTTGGAGAGCTTCTATATGTTTTGCATCTTGAGGTCATCTGTGTTTATGTTGGTTGCTTTCTGTATTAATTGAGGATTCACTTTCCATATCCATTATTTCCCCTGAACTTGTTACAAACAAGCATTCTATCCAGGAGTGCAGCACAGTGGGTCGGACTGAGACATGGGTTGTGCTTTCCCTTCCTGCTGCTGAACAACCAGTAACTCTGGACATACATTCAGAAAAAACAACTAGAATGAAGGCATAGTGCAGAATGAGAAGGACTGACCAGACATGAGGCTGAGCATATTTTCTACTCAGTTATTGATGGAAAATGTTGGGGGCTAACTCAGTTGTAGTCAACCATTTCTGTTCTGATGGCCATGCTGTCCCCATAGCATAGACATTCAAAATATGTTAGGGTGAGAATTATGAGCTTTGTTGTTCTTAGTTATCTTTATGGGTTATGTAGCAATTGGTAAGATTCTGCAGACAAGAATGCAGTGTTTTGAGCTGATGGAGTCTCTGAACCTGAGAGTGGTCTGGCACAGGGGACAAGCGCATCAAGACTAGATGATCATTATGGTCCATTTCAACCCAGGCCATTCTATGATTATGTAATTCTGTGATTCACATCAGAGCTGTCTCAACGGATGCCTTCTAAACTCGTTATTCTAATGGAGATGCCACCAGTGCAGCAGTGCAGCAGTCAGCAGGTTTCATTGCTGTTATTACTGTGAAAGCGTCTACAGGCCCCCGTTGTAATCTCAGTGTGTTACATTGCATGGGACTGTTTATGCACTGGTCTTAATTTCTTTTCAAAGTAAGCTTTCAGTGATCCTTGAAATGGCGATGTACAGTCTGGCTCTGAGGTCCATTCATGCTGGTCAAGAATGCAGGAGTTCGCTGGTTGTTCACTGAGTTGTAGGGTCTGGTGATGGTAACACTTGACCATGAAATTGATGGTTTCATTTCTTCTTCCAGTTGCGACACCAGCAGTGGAGCTTGGTGATGGAGAGCGTTGTGCCATCAGATCGAGGAAACTACACCTGTGTTGTGGAGAACAAATATGGCAATATTAGGCACACGTACCAGCTTGATGTTTTAGGTGAGATTTCATTGTTTTCCCTCAGCAGCTGCTTTGCGGTGATGTTGAACAGGCGTATGATAGGATGCAGGAAGCAGAAGCCAGGTTCCCTTCCCAAATAACTGGTGCCAAGGGGAAGCCTCCTTTTGACCAGCAATTCCATTTCAGATGGTGATGAATAAATTATGTAGCAGGCCTCGAGAGAAGGAAAGATGTGAGTGGGGCTGAGATTTCTATTCTGTTCTTTGTGGTTTCTCTTTGTTTGGTTTGAGGAGCACTGGCTGGTAAGGTGGGCAGGATACCTGAGATGACACTCCTAGTCTTCACCTTTTCTGCTGAATAGCAAGGAATTCCTCATCTGGAACAACTCCTGCCAGATCACTGTGAGCTGCTACCACTGCGCAGCTTTGTCTCTTTCCATCATGAGCACTGACGGATGCAGAGAGGAGTCCTTGCTGGAAGGAGAATGGATGAATTCACATATTCCTCTTGTAATTTTTCAGAACGGTCACCCCACCGACCAATCCTGCAAGCAGGACTCCCTGCCAATCAGACCGTGGTGGTTGGGAGCAATGTGGAATTTCACTGCAAGGTCTACAGTGATGCCCAGCCTCATATCCAGTGGCTGAAACACGTGGAAGTCAACGGCAGCAAGTATGGACCTGATGGGACACCCTATGTCACAGTGCTGAAGGTTGGTGCTCGCTCCTTCTGTTTGCTCTCAGGGCATCCCTTCCTCTGCCTTGGTCTCAGTGTTAGAGAGACCAGCTACACTGTGGGGTTATTTCTCAGAGAAGCCCACTGTCTCGTGGAAAAAGACATTAGCACTGAGTAAAGGTTCTTGTCATCAATGGAAGCCATAAAATTTTATGGATATGTTCATAAATAAGGTGTAGACTAGCAGTGCAGCAAGAACCAGAAGCTCTCAACAGAATATGCTCAATACCACTGTTCCTAGAAGGATGATTATTATTTAAATCAGATTTTTGTGAGCTCCGGGTTTCATTTTATATGATTGTTTCATGTCTATGAGAAAAAATAATGAGAATAAGCCAAGGATCACGGTTGGGATTGTTCTTTTCTTTAAGCCTGTGCAGTGGAATACTCTGCTTTTGGAGGGGGAACAGCAAAAATGTCCTAATGTCAATGTTCCAGACTCTTCTGTTTGCCAGAGATAACACAACTACTGTAGTGGCATAGATAAGCAAAGTAGTTGCAAGGGCTGAGGAAACTGTGAGAAATGCAGTATTATAAAAGGGAAGCTGTCAGATTGCATTTGACCTAAAATTGGAAAAATAACCCTTTTTACTGCTTCAGTGGAGGTATTTTCAGGGCTTATTAAAATGAAAGGCTCCCAAGTAAAACACATTCTTTCCTTTTCCAAGTACACTGCAGCGCACATGTACTAAATAATGCTCAGCTCCTGGCACCTGAGAGCCAAGAGAGCCTTGTTCCAGCCATGAACATTTGTGAACCATGCTATTATCCATGCTCAGGAAAGCCTATATTTTATTGAGCAAAAACTCACTTAGTAAAACTCCACTTTGCAAATGCTTTCTAGAAAGGGAGTTTCCAGGTTGCAGGCAGAACAAAGCCAGAAAGTCTGGTTTCTCCTGAGCCAGTGCAGATATAAAAGCAGGCAAAAAAACTTTGGACTTCTAAACCCCCCTCCCCCTCTTTTTGTTTCATAATTGAAGGCATCCTGTGCTTGTGTGTATTAGAATAGTGCCAAATCCAGTTTTTCTGCCTCTAGAAACAGATTCTGTCCTTTCAACTTAAAGCTGAGGCTCTCCTCATGGACATCCCCTGTGCACGGCCTGCTGCACACACCCTTCTTTCTCTTTGTATGAAGTTTTGTTGTTTTTTTATTTAAAACAAACTTATCAGACAGCATCTACAAAACTGTAACTCAGCCAGATGCATGATAATAAAAGCTAGAGACCCTGGAAATAATTACACAGATTGAAATAACAGATTGGTTGGAAGAAATGGCTGGAGACAGCTCTTCAGGATTGGCAGCAGGCGCTTCTTGCGAGTTGATAAAACTTTTTATTTTCTGTCTGTGTCTCCAAATGTGTTTGAATTATGCATATTTGAATTTCCCCCTGGTTTCACAGCTCAGCAGCACGCTCTGAATAGCTGCCTGTGTCACATGCCATCCTGCATAGTCTCCAAACTCCGTGTGTGGTCCCCATGGGATAAAGTGGTACCTTTTGGAAGTTCGCAGAGCCGCTGCGAACAGTGCCTTGTGTCACAAGCACAGGCTCCCATTTTGCTGTGGCAAAGAACATATAAATAGTCCATATAAGTAGCGTTTTAAAATTACGTTGGAGCGGCACCGGGGTGGCTAGGTAATTAGAATTGCCAAATACCTCCTCTTCTGTGGACGCATTCCTCGAAGGGGAGCACAGGCAGGAGTTTAAAAGCAGAAGTTTTGTTTGGTTTTATTTTTGCTGAATAGGACCAGCACACGTCTATTTACTACTTCTGGTTAATCAGGAATGCTTTGAATTGTGTTAATGCTGGCATCAGCACTAGGGCATGGAGCATTTCCATTTTGGGATGCATCTTTTGTGTACCAGTCCTGGGCCTCCACAGAGCTGTAGCAGGCCCAGCTTTGCAGGGATTCTTTTCTGGGTTTTTTTGGGTATATGTGCTTATTTTTTTCAAAACAAAAGATGATCTTGCTGTCATCTTCAGGCCTGTCCTTTGGCTGCATGGACTTGTTGACCTTATGTCATGCAGTGCTTTTGCTTTCAGGCAGGATCCTCTTTAATGGCCTTAAACAAAAAGAGGGGAGATTTAGGTTAGATGTTAGGAAGAAATTCTTTACTCAGAGGGTGGTGAGGCCCTGGCACAGGCTGCCCAGAGAGCTGTGGGTGCCCCATCCCTGGAGGTGCTCAAGGACAAGTTGAATGGGCCCTGGGCAGCCTGATGCAGTGGGGGCAGCCAGCCCAGAGCAGGAGGTTGGAGCTGGGTGATCTTTAAGGTCTCCTTCAGCCTTAGCCATTCTATGATTCTGTGATCCTGGCCTTGCTGCAGGATCCTGGTAGTGGTCCTTCTGACCGCAGCTTCTTGAGAAAGGGCCTCCCATTCCCAGCAGTATGGTGCCTTCAGAGAGATAAGGCTTTTTTATCAGCCTGCCTTTCCCTCCTGCTTTTGGGAGATTTACAGGAGCTGCTAAGGAGCAGTTTGTATAGGAGGAATATCTCAGTCTCCATCAAAGCAAGGAGAGATGCCCAGCATGTGAAATTTCCCCATAAATCTAAATTGAGGACAAAACCCACCCCAGACCAGATGGATAAATTGAATGCTGTACTTTCAACCCATTTTTCAAACAGCTTAACAATACCAAGCCATCACCTGCGCCAGTTCCTGAAAGCTAGGGCTCATTTGTGATCAAAGGCAAGCCCTTGTTCTTTGCAAAACACTAAACGCATTCCAATTTCAGAGGGAGGCTGGCAGCACAGTGCCCAGGCTTTGTCAAAGGCTAAATTGCACATTCTGCACTGAAACATGCCTGGTTTAATTATAAACAAGGCAGCAACAGCAGGGAGGCACATTTCCCCACTGGTCAGGACAGACAGACCTTGCAGCATGTGAGCCTCAGTGATGAGATCAGGTCAAAACCAGTGGTGTTTGTCATCAGGCATGGGCACAATGGCTCCATATTGATGCCACCTCTGGGTTTGGCTTCCAGTAACCTATGAGATCCGTCAGCCCCATTGATTTTAATGGGCTGAGAGCTGCACTGGCAGGATCAGGCGCTGAAAATGGAAATCACTGAGGTGAGGCTGGAGAGCATAAGAACAAAACTGAGAAATGCACTTGGTGTATTTTCATTCCCAGGGCTGAAGCTGATACTTTCCTAGAGTTTCCCCAAGCTACTACTGAGGCCACCCAAAGTAGTTGCTTATTTTCAAGCAAAATACAAACAACTGTTTAGGAACAAACTGATGTGCAGTTGTGAAAGCTTGGAAGAAGAGAAGTAAAACTCTGCTTAACAGTCCGAAGCTTGTTTGATTTATGTGCGCCACTTTATTTAGTAAAGAAGAGGCTCCTATAAGCAGTGGAAAAAATTACAGCTAATTTCTGAAAGGCAAAGTCAGCAGCGAGTTTCAGACCGCCACTGCTTATATTTTGTTTCCAAATTCTATTTTGGAATCTGATAATTGAAACAGTATTTGCCGAGCCGAGTTGCAAACACAAATCTCTGCTTAAGCCCTTTCTCTGGTGCTCCTGTCTGCGGAGTTATTAAGGAACTGCTGTAGGGTCTTTACTATCAGATGGAGAGGTGGGAAACTGTTCTGTTTTGGGAAGAAATGACATGTTCCAGCAGCAGGAACACCAGCGAAGGGCAGAAGGGTGACCTGTGTGTGATTTGGGGACTTCTCTTCTTTGCCCAGGTCCTGGGTAGGTTGTTCATCACAGGGTGATGTTGGGATATTGCTACAACCAGGAGGAAAATAGGCTTGAACAGTCAATCCTAGCTAATGTAGGTTCGATTGAGGTATTGTTTGGTTTACTGAAGTTCAGGTTTCTGTCTATTCCTGCAGTCTTGGATCAGTAAAAACGCTGAAGCCGATGCTAACCTAAATCTGTTCAATGTGACAGAACAAGATGAAGGAGAATATCTGTGTAGAGCCAACAATTTCGTAGGCATAGCCGAAAAGCCATTTTGGCTCCACATTCGCAAACCAAAACCAGGTAAACCACAGACTCTGTCCCAAGGCCCTGGCAACTGCAAGAATGAGCTGTAACATTTTAAGAAGCTAGTGATTAAAATTACTATTCATTTTGTATTACACCCTGTCAACTGACGATGAATGGCTTTATCTTATTTTCTTGCTATTTTTTTTTACAAGAATGTAACGCCTATACAGCAATTGCCATGGAAAAATTCCCACAATAAAATGACTGTCAAATTTTGCTATCAATCCTTCATGCTTTTATTCCTTTCCCTTCCTTTCAATTGAGTGCTGATAACAGAACTGCATGCTAATTACCTGTGACGTTCAGCACTCTGGAAAACCAAGCTGTTGCAAGGTTTTTGCATCCAAAACTGATACAGTCACTGTGGACTGTCTTCTGTCCCTTGGAGAAGTAATTGGGAAATAAGTCATATATTGGCTTGTACAAGCAAACACATTAAACGGAGAGCAGCACAGCATGCTGAGCTCTCTGGTGTGACTCCAGCTGTTCCTGGGGTGTTTGACACCTTCTTGTGATCTGTGATACCACGGTATCAGAAGCTGGATAATGGGTTTGAAATGCTCATCCCAAAAATCATTCTTTAAAAAAAAAAAAAAAAAAAAAAAAAAGGACGATGCAATATTCTTCAATGAACTCAATGTTTGTGTGTTCATCTGATCAGCACTTGAGTCTTTCCCCACTATCTCTCCCTTCCTGTCTTGTTTCCTTCCATCTTTCCCTGTTACTTTTCCTCTCTCCTACCTTGGATTAACCCTACTAACCAAAGTCAGTCATATTGTGGGGGCAATTTTTCATTTGGATGCTTTTGCTTGCATGCTTCTTTAGTGGGACAGAGTAAGAACCTGGTGAAGGGAACTTTTTTGCTTTTGACTGCAGGTTGCAAAGGGGAATGAATGAATATATGTGGAAGATGGCCAATAGAAAAACAACAACAACAAAAAAACACTTTAATCTGCTTTTGAAATTTGCCTGTGGTGTCCTCACACTTGCTGGGAATGTGGCTTATTCTCTTTGTTTTCCTTCTTTCTATATGTGTGTGTTTTTTTTCCCCTTAGACAGCAGGTGTTAACACAACGGATAAGGAGCTAGAGATTCTGTACTTGCGAAATGTTACTTTTGAGGATGCTGGGGAATATACTTGTCTCGCAGGGAATTCTATTGGGTTCTCACATCACTCTGCTTGGCTGACGGTGCTACCAGGTATTTCCTTCTGTGCTGGCCTCTCCTTCCCTCTCCAGGGTGCTCTGACATTTGCTTTAGAGATGCCAGGTTCCTGCAGACATGTTACCCAAGGAGGACCCCGTCTGTGATTTGTTGTGCCAGTGGCAAATTGGCACAGCAGAAGACCCCTGTTGCATATTCACAGCTGACAGATTTTGCATTTCATAGAATTATAGAGTCATTATGGTTGGAAAAGAACACTAAAATCACCTAGTCCAACCATAAGATCATCTAGTCCAGTCATTTCATCCCAGGGTTTAAATTCTTACTGCAATAATGATACAGAATGGTGTATATCTTCTTAGATGGTGATAACCCAGAGGTGCTCACAGCCTCTGCATTAGGAGGCTGTCATTAGATACCAGAATAGACACTTTGGCTTTATATGCTGCCAGTGTACTCAGTGGGAGAAGAAAGCTCCTCATCAGATGGTCCAGGGCATCTAAACCCTGCACATACAGTGGATCATTTTATGGAGAAACCTTCCTGTTCAATTCATATCTCAACCTAAAATCAGATGCACAGCTGGTTGGTATGAGTATACCTATCCCTTCTTTTAGCATTATTTCTGCTTCATGGATGAGCAGGCCCAGACATTGATCTTAAACAGGAGGTCCATCAAAGTTATCCATGATCAGAGCCCAGGAGCTGTAGCTCCCAGTGCACCAAAGGCCATAGCTGAAAAAGATGAAAGCTGTTATAGACTTGAAATCTGAGGCCTGAGTGACCTCAATTTTGTGATCCTTTCATATGCAAAGCTCTCATTGACAATGAAGTCAGCACAGAATATGCAACAGGAGTGGTCTGCCTTCAAAAGGGGTTCAGGGCTGTGCCTTCACCTGCAGGATCTACCTCCAGCTATGGGGGCAGCCCAAGAAAGTATGAGCAGTGTTAATGTGGAAGCTAAGTGGGTGCTGTGCCTTGCAAAGGCTGTAGCAGCAGCCCTGAAGTGTGTTCTTTACTGAAAAGGCACCCGGATTGGCTTGCCCAGTTGTAAACCACACTTGTGTCTAGCTCACAAACACATCTATCTTGAGGTGTGTTTAACAACAAGGAACTTTGGCATCTCTAGTCTTCATTTTGTCTGTGTGGGTGATTTGGTCTTAAATACTTCTCCTGGGTCTCATGCCTGACCCTCTGCAGGTAGGATCTGCTGGTCTTTTCTCTGTTCATTTGCCAGCTTTAAAATAGCTAATCTGATCCTGGTTCTGCTTCTGCCATCCACTGGATGAGAAATCACTTAATTTGGTTAGAGCACTAATATCTCTGTTATTTAAGAATCTCCTCAACCTGTCTCATTCAACCATTAGATTACTTTTAAAATGTATGAACCCATGCCTCCTATTTAAACATATTAAAATGGGAAGGAAGAAAATCAGCTGAACTTTATAATGAAGTCAGCCATGGAGATGGACAGCCATCTGTGCAGCAGCAGGCTCCAAAGCACTGCCTTCCACAGTAAAGAAGGAGCAGGATCCAGCCATCCTGGGGAACCTCTGCTTGTGAACCCCTGCCCTCTCTAAGGAAGGAAATGGAGCAGAGATGCTGTGATCCCAAGAAATCTGGAAACCCTTCCCCATCGTAAGAGATTGCTGTCTGGCACATGGGCGCACCTGAGCAGGTGCAGCCTCCATGGTCACCCATGGCTGTTTCTCCATGTGCATCTTGGACATCAAAGACCTGATTTGGAGCCTGCTGCTGCAGGTGGAAAAGCTCCAACTGATTGCAAAGCATAGATTTAAATTGAATTAGCAAGCTAATCATGCTGGCATGACTTCATTGTAAAGTTTTCCGTTGCTGACTGTTCCTCTGATGCTGATTCACCTTTAGGGGACAAAAATCTGGTTTCATCATGGCCCTTCCTCTGTCCTGAAGTGAGCAAAGTGCCTGTCCTGAAGGGAGCAGTTGAGAATTGCAGCTGAGCTTTGCTGGTCCCCAAAGTACGTTGATGGAAGGTGACCAGCTACTGCTCATGGGCTCATGCCATCACCCTGCTGGCTCAGCCACCTCTCCAAGCCATACTCTCCAACAGAACTGAATTTTCACAAAATAATTGCGTAGATATCTTCTGTGAGGCTTTTTCCTTTCATGGTGCATTACTACTGGGTGCCCTTTGAGCCCTTTGGTCCTTCAGAGCAGGCACTGATCTGATGGAGATCATCATGGGAAGTCCAGATGTGCTCACCAGAGGGTCCAGATCAGCAAAAGGCAGCGAACCCCCATCCTGCAATCCTTGCACATCCAAGGCAGCCCATAACATGGTTTGGATGTGTGGAGAAAGCAAGATGTGGTTCAGTGGGACAGACACATGAAGGTGCCTTCAGTCTAGAGCAGTGGTTTTCAACCTGTGGGCTGAAGGCTGTACAGCATTATGTCAAAAGACAGTAAAAGTGTCCCAGGGAAAGGCAAATCAAAATAATACTTTAGCTGCAGCTGCATGTGGAAAACCACTGGCCTAGGAGGGTCACCTCATTGGAGTTAGTCAGAACGTTTGCGTGGATAAGCAGGTCCTCCCCACATTCTTTGTGCTGTGTGTGTGTGGTTATGGACAGGCAGTGCTGGCCCCACCTGACCGCTGTCTCTTGTCGCCCTGCAGCAGAGGAGCTGATGGAAATGGATGATTCAGGCTCAGTGTATGCTGGCATTCTCAGCTATGGCACTGGCTTAGTCCTCTTCATCCTGGTACTGGTCATTGTGATTATCTGCAGGATGAAAATGCCAAACAAAAAAGCCATGAACACCACCACTGTACAGAAAGTCTCCAAATTTCCACTCAAGAGACAGGTAACAGAAAGTAGATACAAGATTCCCATTCCCCCCTATGTTCATTCCTTTTTTTTTTTTTTCCCTTGCCATTTTCTTTATAGGTGAGAAACTCTACCAGAAGGGCATTGTCCAAGAGCAACATAAGTTGGCTGCAGTGTAGGAGTTTATTGCCCTTTTATTCATTTATTTCCATTTCAGTGGAGCAGTACCTGGTGGCAGCTGCTTCAGGTTCATGAGCAGCTCCTAATGCTCCCAGTACACTTGTGGATGTCACAGAAAGCTGATCTTGCTGGGGAACGGTTTGATGCTGATAGAGGGGTAATTTGGGGAGCAAGAGGCTGTTTTCATTGAGGTAATTAGCAAACTGGAAACCATTTCTCATAGAGAAATCTATCCTCCATGTAGCTAGAGATCATCTTCCTCCATGTAGCTAGAAATGCTCTGCCACATGTAATTGCAAAGGGGCTAGAGCAAAAGGCACTGTGTAAAATTACATAGGGAAGTATACAGATGTCCCAGCTTTGACTTCAGGCATGTGGTGGCCATTTACCATGCCAGAAGAGAAGTCACCCCATAGCCAGTCATACATGTGTTTGGAAGCAGGCAGAGCAAATTAATTCACTATTGTGCAGCTGCCAAGACTTCCTTGCAGGAGAGCCCTGGCTCACCTGTCTCTGCTTTCCACCAGTGAAGAACCTGACCATGTTTGCCTAGATCAGCAAAATTTTGCAAGGGTGGGGGGCAGTGCCCATGTAGAAATTACCAGAAAGGCGTCAGTATAGAGAGCTACTTCAAAACCCCCCATCTTGAGCGCATTCTCACCTGCTTGGGATACAGTTGGCAATAACACTTAATTTGCTCTACCCAAGCAGGTGTCGTTGGAGTCCAACTCTTCCATGAATTCCAACACACCTCTGGTTCGGATCACTCGTCTCTCCTCCAGTGATGGGCCGATGCTGGCCAACGTCTCTGAGCTGGAACTTCCTCCAGATCCCAAGTGGGAATTGGCACGCACTCGGTCAGTCAAACCCACCAGCAGGGTCCCCATGCTTCCTGGGAGTGTCACCTCCCCAGCACCTGCTAACACACCTGTTTGTTCTTCCCTCCAGCCTGACCCTGGGGAAGCCGCTTGGTGAGGGCTGTTTTGGCCAAGTGGTGATGGCAGAAGCAATTGGGATTGATAAAGACAAGCCAAACAAGGCCATCACGGTGGCTGTCAAGATGCTAAAAGGTATGGGGAATCTGTGGAGGGTGGAGCATCGTATTGTGCTGCGGTTTCCTCTCTTCCCCTGTCTTTTAAGTCCTTTGTACAAACAGATCCATAGAAGAAAGCAAGAAGAACCACTATTCCGCTTCACTCATGTAGCCTCAGGGTGTGGGCTGTTTCCTTGGAGAGGATGTAAAGGTGTAAATCCCATCAGGAGAAGGGAATGGGAATTAACTCAGTTCTTTGCCAAGGGGTAATATGATCACAGAGAAGGAGGGAAAGCACTCTCACTTCTAGCCATTTCCAGGAACTGGTCTGCTCTTTACTCCCCCCATAACCAAAACTGGCTATTGTAACAGCAGCTTGTGCAATACACTCAGCTGGAGTTTACAGAAATTCAGCTGCCAAACTCCTTCTGCCCTCTCATTGAATAGCCTCAGTCCAAAAGTGATGAGAGCTGGAAGGGAGCCCAAAATGGGGAATGCGCAGGACGCCTCCATAGGAGTCCTTGTTCCTCATGTGTAGACAAAATGACTAGGAGCTCCAGGAGTTCAGCAGGAGCGGGCAGGGCAGACACTCTGGCAGTGTGCAGCCCAGGTCTGAGGTTACACAGGGTGACATTTTTTACATGAAAACATTTCTTATCAGAAAAAGATTCTTTAGATTTCTTTCGGTCCATTCTAAAGTTGTTTTTGGAGGCAGGAACATTTCTATCTCTTCACATCAAAGCATTCATTTGAGGAGATTTTCCCCATTTTTCTTCTTCTGTAGAAAATATACAGTTTTCCATGCAGAAAAATACATTCTTTATACTGTCCCCCATCCCAGCTCTGACCTTCCTGCAACCTTAACTCTAAGCCCCTGGACATAAGGGAGGAAAACAGTCATAGAATCATGGAATGGCTTAGGACCTTTAAAGATGTTCTCATTCCAACCCCTTACTATACAGGGGATACAATGCAAGAAAATGATGCAAAATACCCGAACTGGCTTTTTTTCTTCAATATTCGTCGGGATGAAACAGAAGATGAACAGTGTTATTGATTTACATATGGGCATTTTTCTCATATCTAATTTCACTTTATTCCTTTTTTCTTCTTGAACTTTTTTTTTTTGTGTGTGTGTGTGTGTGTGATAGTAGTTTTTGTTCTTAATTTGAGACTTCTTCCCAAAAAACAAAGAGAGTTTTGCATATTTGTTCCCCATCAGTCTCTGCATGGCTATGCCACAATTGTATTAAATGCTTAACAGAACATTCATTTTGTTCCTCTCTTGCTTTCTGCAGATGATGCCACAGACAAGGATCTTTCAGACCTGGTCTCTGAGATGGAAATGATGAAAATGATTGGGAAGCACAAAAACATCATTAACCTCCTCGGTGCCTGTACACAGGACGGTATGTGTTGGCAGGGCTCAGGGAGCTGTTTCACATTCCTGCATCCACAGCATTGGTCTTAGTCTCCTGCATGGCTTTCTGGAGCTATTCTTGCCCTGGATAGGAGCAAACCTCTGTATTTGATCAGTGCTGAGAAACTTTTCCTTCTTCCTCTGGCTTGCTCACAAATCAACTGTGTGAAACTTGTCTGGGCCCTGCTGATGTCCAAATAGCTCCTGCCTGTTTCTGATGTGGTTTGGCTTGAGTTGCACCTTTCCCCCATGTCCACCTTTGTGTCTTTCTCCTTTTCTCATAAGTTTACAGTTAGGTCCTAGAGTTTTGTGATTGTTTAATTGCTGACTGACTGTCTAAATTTACCCAAAAGATGAGATTCAGGGTTCAGCCTAGCCCTATGTCTCTTCTAGCTGCTGATGGTGCTCTTGCTTGTAGGACCACTCTACGTGTTGGTTGAATACGCATCGAAGGGGAACTTGCGGGAATACCTCAGGGCACGTCGCCCACCTGGCATGGACTATTCCTTTGACACCTGCAAGCTGCCTGAGGAACAGTTGACATTTAAAGACCTGGTTTCCTGTGCCTACCAGGTGGCCCGGGGCATGGAGTACTTGGCATCACAGAAAGTGAGTTGAGAAATCTCAGCTGATAAAAACATTGGTCATAGAATCACAGAATGGTTTGGGTTGGAAGGGACCTGAAAGCCCACCCAGTTCCAACCTCCTGCTGTGGGCTGATTGCCCCCCACTAGATCAGGCTGCCCAGGGCCCATCTAACCTGACTTTGAGCACTGTAGGAGTGGGGCACCCATAAATCTCTGGGCAGCCTGTGCCAGGGCCTCACCGCCCTCTGAGTAAAGAATTTCTTCCTAACATCTAACCTCAGTCTCCCTTCTTTTAGTTTAAATTAATTTCCCCTTACCCTATCGTTATCTACCATGTAAAAAGTCAGTCCTGCTTGCAAGTTCCCTTTAAATACTGAAAGATTGCAGTTGAAATCTCCTCAGAGCCTTTTCAAGGCTCAAAAACCCTTGAGAGGAGACCCAGGTATTCAAAGACAAGTAGTGCTGTGCGTGTGTGCAGGACAACCTCAGGCTTCTCCCTTTAGAGGCCAGATTTTTTTATTACAAAGGATCTTAATGTTTTTGCGAAAGGCTTAAGCTGTAGCAAACTGTTCGTATGTGCTGGCTACATCCATGACACATGCGGCTGAACCAGTCTTGCTGCCACCTGCAGACCCTTCAGCATCTCCAGAATGCTAACAAAAAACACAAACGGCCCAGACCTTGGTGCCTGCCCCCAGCATTTCAGCATCTGCCACTTGTAGAATTAATTTATTTTCAGATCAGGGCTCAGTCAGCAGTGGTTAGGGTGAACATCATGCAGAGTTGCGAGATCTCACCTTGGAAAGCACTGACATGACTTTAGTGTCAGGAGTTCCATGTGCCCCTGACTTTCCACCCCCAACTCCCTTGTGAGATTGCTGAAGATAAAGGACACCCGAGTGGAAGCCAACATCCCTCTTGCTGCATACGTGTTTGTGGTTGCAGCCAGCATGTGTAGGCTCATTGCAAGCAGAGATGGCAGTGGATTTGGCACATCCATGCCCACGATGCTTCCTGGGGAGTGCTTTGTTGGCATATGACTGCACTTCATAGTGGTGGTTCACAGTGGCTTAAAGCCCTTTCTGCACAATGCTGGCTACTTTAACTTCTTTCTCAGATAATGACTATGATGTATTTTGGGTAAATTGGGAATATTTTAATTAATTTGAGGATTTTTACTCCAAATATCAACCAGCACTCCTCTTTGTGGAGCAAATGCATTAGAGATAAATTAGTATACCAGTAGGCGCCTACAGAAGAGGAAGGTTTGATTTCTTACCCATGCATCCCTTTTGGAGGGAAACGCTGCATGGCTGTGTCAGTGCTGAGGCTTCTGATGAGGTGTTGCTAAGAGGTGGCTCCCACTGAGCATGCATGATGAGGCGGTGACACAGAGAGCCAGGAATTAAGCAGTACTCACAGCTTTATGAGCTCGAGAGTCAATGAAACGGCAGCTCATAAACCACACATTGCTGTTAGATCCAGGCTCAGGCAGCTAACAAGCCCTTATTTATTGACTTGCTCACCTTTCACAGTGCATTCATCGTGACTTGGCAGCCAGGAATGTGTTAGTCACTGAGGACAATGTGATGAAAATAGCTGATTTTGGCCTTGCTAGAGACGTTCACAACATCGACTATTACAAGAAAACCACCAATGTAAGTACTGAACTGCCATGCACATGCAGCTTTCTTTCTCTCAAGAAACTGCTATCCCTGCAGGAAGTGGCGCTCACTCCACATCTCCCGAGGCAAAAGAGGCTTATAGGAAAGAAATCTGCTGTAGCCCACCTGGTGAAGAGCCATAGGCAGGCTGGTCCCAGTCATTCTCCCACCATTCATTTTCTTCCTGACAGATGTTGCAGGTGCTAGCAGCTGGTTGAGAGATTGATACCTCTGTCAGATAGACTCTAGGTTAAGGAAGCCGAGATTTTTACCAAAGAGAGCCTTTTCTAGCCTACTGCTCAGCTGTTCATAAAGGTCCCAAGGAGCCAACCTTGGCTCCGCTAGAACCCTTTTGAGACAAGTATCCCTTTTTTGTGTGTTTCTGGAGCTACATGGCTTTCATGTATTTTTCTCTGCTTTTTATAACAGCTCTATGGCTCCACCACCAAGGGTGAGGATTCCCAAAGCAGTTTAGATTTTCTGTAGAGTTTAAGATTGAAGAGCAGGAGAGAAGACCAGTGTCATGGTTCACAGCCCTACAGCAACTGTTGAGTTCAGAGCAGCCCATGATACATCCCTCCCCATCACTGCCACAGTGCAGAGCATGAAGCATGTCCCAGCATTCCACAGCCTTATAACTGCAAGGAGTCTAAACACTCTGCAGGGTAAATGTTCTGCAAAGCTCACTAGCCCATACTGATCCCTTGCAATATCATAACATGATTTTTAGAAAATACTGGGAATTTTTATTCCAGCGAAGGTGGATTTCCCCTGTTTGAACTGCAGTGTGTAGCTGAAAGTGTAACCCCATTTGTGTTTGTGCACTCTGCTTGTGTCCCATCTCTAGATGCTTATCCTAATGAAATGAAGGGTAAGAAAGAACAAATTTGGCTACTCTCCTGTAGCCAAATTACACCTCAGCCTAGCAGCAGTCCTTTCTTGGACTTCAGGGGCTGGTAAAACTACTATTTGTTGTCTCTTTTGTCAAATGGGATAGGCATGTTTATAACCCTGATGCAGAATGGTCCCCTGGAAACCTGGGATCAGGGCTCTTTTTCACTCCAGTGGGATCAAGATTTAATTCTTGGAGGATCTGGCCCTGGTGAATACTTTCAGAAATTCCCCTGTAGTTCAGCCTAAGCAGGATTTGGGCTGTGCATCACATTGTTTCTTCCAATCAAAGACATGAAAAGTGTTGTGCCATGCTCTGCTTCACTGCTAGGTGCATATGAGAGCAATTGGTGCAGTTCCCATGCTAAGATTTAGATGCTCTGATATGTTAAACCTGCTTTGGCAGGGAAGTACAGTTCTCTGCAGAGAGCATTTACCACAAAGATTGTCAGCAAAGATCCAGGGATCAAATGCTGTAATCTGTTTACATGTGGCCACTACTGCTTTGCAGGAAGACAGATGTGATTGTTAATGAAAATGTTTCAAACTGGATTAGAAAAGAAGATTCAAATGGTGCCGTTGTGGCTGGGGGAATATGCTGATGGGATGTTCCCATTGTCTTCCTAATCACAGGGTCGGCTGCCTGTGAAATGGATGGCTCCAGAAGCATTGTTTGACCGGGTCTATACTCACCAGAGCGATGTGTAAGCATTATCCACATTTGAAAATAATAATAAAATGACAGCAAAATAAGCACTATCCCAAAGACAAACGTACTGCTAAACTCAAACTCTGTCCAGGACACCGGGAGATGAAAATGCAAATGAATCAATTCCAGGCTGCAGCTTTGCACACGTGGTTCTGTTTCACTGTTATCGGTTGCTTTTAACCAAGGATCTCTAGCAGCTAGTAAGCTGTTGAAAAATTACTGGAAGGCAGGCAGGTATTTCTTGTGTGGTTTATAGATGAGGAGATTCATTCTGCAGGCTGCTATCTTAAAGACTGCTCTTTCGTTTTCCTGACTCAAAGGGAAAGCAGAACAGTCTGGGAAGCAGTTTCAGCAGTTTTCATCGCATCTGAACTTCACACAGACCAAAGTAGCTCAATATGCATACACTTTATTTCAATATTTGGTTAATAATGGTTTTTTTACAGTAATTTAGCAGACAGGCTGCCTGTTCCCCAAGGCTTGCCGCTTGCAATTGGACAAATGAATCATTTCTATTTCTGTAAATTTCACATACTTTGGCTTTATTGATCTTAAATCATAGTTTCCATGCTTAGGTAATGCTGCATGGGGCATGACAGATAAATCAAAGCTAGAAAATGGGAGAGAGAGCATGCCTGAAACAGAGACAGATAATCCCTGTTTTTAAAAAGAAAATGAAGAAGGCAGAAGATATTTTTGAAAAGAGGACTTTTAACCAGAGCACAGCTGCAGGAGTGGAGTGTGTAACATTAGTGCTCTGCTGATTTTTGTTGGGGTATTTTTCTCTCAGCTTGGCCAGTGAAATGAGTGTTGTAACAAGCAAGTTTTGGTATCAGCTTGCACAATTAGTGGCCTGTGGTTCCAAGCCTGCGATTCAGTGAAGCTGTGCATGAATAATTTGATTTGTTCCATTCAGTGGAGCTGGTGGAAGACCTAACAAAGAGCTGGGGGTAATAGATGGGCTGTCACCTATCTGATTAAATGCTCATTTCAATTTCAGACTTGGTGCCTGGGATTTCTTTGCTATTGAGTTGGATCAGCAGAGATCTCCAAGTAACTAGTAAAAATGGCCTAGGCAATTAGTCATGCTATTGATGACTTTGTTAGCTATGCATGGCTGCACAGAAATAAAGCAGAGCAAGGGGAAGGGGATACTGGGGGGATAGGGGGGGTGAATGTGGAGGGAAAAAAAAAAAAAAAAAAAAAAAAAAACCCTCATTGAATTTTAAAGATCTTTCTTTGGTTTCCAGCTGGTCTTTTGGAGTGCTACTATGGGAGATCTTCACTTTGGGAGGGTCTCCATACCCAGGAATTCCTGTTGAAGAACTCTTCAAACTCTTGAAAGAAGGCCATCGGATGGATAAACCCGCCAACTGCACCCATGACCTGTGAGTGGAGAGGGGTGACTCTTTCTCCTCTTCCCACTCCCCCTTCCCTCTGTGGCCACAGACTGCCAGGGCCATGGCCAGACCCTGCTATGGGCAGTTGGGGTGTCACATTTCTTCCTCATTCGTTGGGTGGCAATTTGGTGTGCAGATCTGGGATCTCATCCTTAGGACAGGCCCTCATCCTGCTTTCAGACCACATGCACACATGAGGTGAGGGCTCCACAAATCCCTCCTCGCATCCCCAAAGTAAGGTTGCAGTCTCACACCCTCCTTGCCCCACGCCTCAGGGACGCCGTCTTTGGAGTTACGGACACAGCCCATTTTGTATCCCAGAAAATGACATAGTTATATTCAGTTCCTTCCTCATTTCTTCAGCTCCAGTGACTCCTCAAGCCAGCCTGAGTGGAGAAGGCTGTGCCTACCCATGCTTGGAGGGGAATTGCAGCCATCCCCTCAGCACTGGGCTGCCTCCCTGCTGCTCCTGACATGGCAGTTGGGGGGCTGGGCTATGTGGTTCCCCTCGCCCATAGCTTTTTTCTCAGGCAGACAGAATTCTAGGGGTGAGCCTCACAGTGAGTGATGAGCACTGCCATGGGTGACAGTCCACCTTGTCTGTCATCTTCTTCCTGGAAAAGCTGGAGAGTTGAGCAGAGAAAAACCTGATAAGGTTCAACAAGAGCGAGTGTAGAGTCTTGCACCTGGGGAGGAGTAACTGCATGCATCAGTACAGGTTAAGGGATGACCTGTTCGAGAGGAGCCAAATGGAGAAGGACCTGGGTGCCCTGGTGGACAGCAGGTTGGCCATGAGCCTTGCAGTGTCACCAAGACAGCCAACGGTAGCCTGGGGTGCATTAAAAATAGCATGACCAGCAGGTCAACTGAGGTGATCCTCCCCCTCTACTCCTCGCTGGTATGACCACATCTGGAGTGCTTTGTCCGGTTCTGAGCTCCTCAGTTCAAAAAAGATAAGAGGTAATCTAAAAATAGTCCAGCAAAGGGCCTCAAAGATGATTCAGTGCCTGAAGCATCTCTCTTATGAAGAAAGGCTGAGAGATCCAAGGCTGTTCAAGCCTGGAGAAGAGAAGGCTGAGAGGGATCTCGTAAGTTTATAAGTATCTAAGTATTACTATAAGTATTACTGTTTATAAGTATCTAAAATTCAGGAGTCAAATGGATGGGATTAGTCTCTTTTTGGTTGGCCCAGCAACAGGACAGGGGGCAATAGGCGCAAGCTGGAGTGCATATCATGTTTGATATGGAGTTCCATATGAAACATGAGCAAGAACTTTACTGTGGAGATGACAGAACCCTGGATACGTCATGGAATCTCCTTCTCTGAAGCTTTTCAATAACCACCCAGATGCTTTCCTGCTCAACCTACTGTAGGGAACCTTCTTTAGCAGGGGGTTGAACTTGATGATTTCTGGAGGTCCCTTCCAACCCCTGTAATTCTATGCCTGGTAGGTACATGATCATGCGGGAGTGCTGGCACGCCATCCCCTCGCAGCGACCCACCTTCAAGCAGCTGGTGGAAGACTTGGAAAGAGTCCTTACCATGACATCCACTGATGTGAGTGTGGTGTTGGTGTGGGAATACAGGGAGAGGTGGCTTATCTCCAAGCACACTAACGGGTCTGTCCCCCTTCAGGAGTACCTGGACCTCTCGGTGCCCTTTGAGCAGTACTCGCCCGCTGGCCAGGACACCCACAGCACCTGCTCCTCAGGGGACGACTCGGTTTTTGCACATGACCTGCTGCCTGATGAGCCCTGCCTGCCCAAACATGCACCCTGTAATGGCGTCATCCGCACGTGACGGCCCCCCTGGACAGACGGATGGACAGACAGGCAGTGTGCCCACCCTGGCGCAAGTGCAGAGCGCCGAAGACAAACCCATAGTGAAGGATGTTTCCATTAAACTGCTCAGTGATGCCAGAAGATTTTTGTTATTGAGCTGTTCAGGGTAAAAAAAAAAAAAAAAAAAAAAAAAAAAAAAGAGAGAGTTAAAACAATTTTTTTTTTTCCCCCATTTGCTGTATAAAAAGTCAAGAAGCACTGTTTGGCCTGAAGGAACTCATCTCTTGCCAAGATGATCTATCATGTATGATTTTTTTTTTATTTTTTTTCTTTATTCCTAAGCAGAATGTTAAATCTGAGGGCACTGCCCTCCCGCCTGCGCTTGCTGAGCGCCAGAGTAGCCAATCTGTGCCTACAATACAAAGAAGAGGAAAAAAATCTTCCTTTTTTTTTTTTTTTAAAAAAAAGAAAAGCTAATGAAAAAAAAAAAAATGTAAAGAATGTAGAAATTCTTTGCTTATGCAATCTGTACATGAACCTTTTTGGTGGAGCTGAAAAGCCACGTTGCCTGCAGGGATTCATATATTTATAGAAATATCTATATTTTTGTTGTCGTCGTTTTTATAGCTTCGTGACCTTATTTCCCAGCTACATAGAAGGAATCTTTTTCAGAAGAAGAAAAATAAATAATACACAAATCAAGATGGAGGAAGAACTAAAAATTTTTTAAAAAGAGACAGTCGAGTCATCCTATAGGAGGAGAGCACTGCCTGGCCACTGGCCATGTCCCGTAGGGATTGCACACCCATGTGGCATCTGGAGCTGTGTCCCAACCTACAGGAAGAGCCGATCTGGGGAAAATCTTGCTTTTTGGAGACGGGGGTTTGCACACTTTTGCTTTCAAAGGGCAAGTTGTAGAGGAGAAACTCCTCCAGCCCTTGGCACCGGCGGTTTGGCTCCATCTACATGCAGTGACTTGGAGAAAGAAGTTACGGGTACCTGTAGGCAAGAGCCTTTAACTTATATCAAAAAGGTTTATTCCAGAGAATCTGTGTATATATCTATAAATATATTCTGTATATATATAAATAAATATATAGGGGAAAAAAAAAAGAATGTATAATACTAATTCAACATAAAGCAGTACTGAGAGAGTCTCAAAATATGAGCATTGCAATCTAGGATATACTGATCTGAGTGAAAGAGTTGTGTTTGTTTTATATCTTCACAGTTTTGTTTTAAAAATTGTACGTTAACATGTATATTTGTAAAGTTATTTATAGACATTAACATATCTGTTCTTCGGTTTAAATAGCATAGTGTTACTGTAAACTTTAAATTTCACCGAGTTTAAGGGTGGTTTTTTTTTTTAACTTATTAAAAATGGAGAAAAAGTATATCAATCAAGTTTTTCTTTTGTGTTTATGGGAAATATTGAAAGAATGTATAGATGTACAGTCCTTTAACAAATTACATTTAATGTTTTATATATATTTTTTATATATATGTATTCATTAAAAAAATATTAGTTTATCCTGGATTGCAGTGAGCAAAGGTAAGTTTATTTTTCAATACATCACCAGTGGTTAAAACCGAACAAATAGCAGAGAGATGGTTTTTACGTATTTCAGAAAAAAGAGGGCCAAGATTTCTTCCATCACTTTAACCACTGTTCATTACTGGGGCGTGGGTGTTTATTTTTCTATTTTCGAATGAAGGTATTCTTTGTGGTCCAGTCAATAAGTAGCACGCAGCAAAGCAACGTGTTGACTTTGGATGACGCGCATTAATTTTTTTTCCCCCTGTGCCTGTAACGTTGTATTTTGGGTTTAAGAAATACCATACGGGCAAAATAGCAAGAGGAGTGACGTTGTTTGCAGGGGAGATGCAACGACTGCATATTTCTTTTGCATTTAACACATTGAAAAATGCCAGTAATGCCTAGTTTTCTGTTTTCGAAATGCTGTGCTTTTTTTGTTCCTGAATGTCAGACAGCAGTGAAAAAAGAACCTTCACGTGGCTCAAGCTGACAAGGGGGGAGGTGCTGGGGTGGGCTTTTTTTGTTGTTGTTTGTACCTTTTTTTTTTTTTTTTTTTTTTTTTTTTTGTCCAGAAGACTTCATCTGCTATCACAAAGAGGCAAGGAGAAATGCATCCTGAATTCCTCCTTTACATTTTTCTCTGGTGCACGTTACATATCAACGTTTCAGAATAGCAGGATGGCAGCATCTCATTTTTAACTTTTTTTTTTTCTTTTTCCTTCTTAGAGCCACAAAATCCTTATCCTAAAATAAATAATTTATAGTTTGAGGTTATTTCAGTGGAAGTTTGAGAAGGTAGATTTCTATAGAATTTTGTTTTGTTGGGATAAAAAAAGAAAAAGAATTTTTTGGTATTTTCTTACAAATGTCTGCTAATTGTGTACATTCCAAGTACTCGAAGCGTTGTGTTTCGTGTACTGAAAAAAGAAAATGTACAAAACTGTGCATGATTTCAAATGTTACTAGATATTATAAATATATATATAATTTATTGAGTTTTTACAAGATGTATCTGTTGTAGACTTGTTGACTTAACATTTCTTATTCAATGCTTATATAGTTTTATAGCCTGGACTATTATCTTTAAAAGCTTAAAAAAATTAAAATTCCAATTTTGTTACATTTTATACTGTTGATGTTACAATCCACAGGTTTGCATAGCGTGATTTTTCAACAAGCAACTCTGTTCAGTTTATTTTAATAATGTACTTCTGTGCCTGACAGCTGCAGCTGTCAAAGGTGTGAGACAAACACTAAATAAAACTATTCTGCTTTTGTTAATATGGCAAACTTAATTTTACAATAATAATAATAATAATAATAATAAACAAGTTGTTAAATTCTGGGGTTTATTCCCAGTTGTGAGGCTCCTTTGGAGAAAAAAAAAAAAAGTAGAAAAAGTAGCCCTAGCACAAGGGCAGGGTTTGCTAATGAAACCTGGGTTTATTCAGAGCAGGAGCTCTCCCACTAAGAGAATGGTTTCTGGGAAAGAGAGCATGTGAGCGCACAGAGCAGGCACTGTGAGATGGACACACAGGGCCCCGTCCTGCCCAGCAACCAAAGGGCAGATGCATTTGGTTCCTTTGTATTTGGGAATGTGGAAGGGAACTCTAATCTGTGTTTTGCTGGCAGTAGATGGAGTGCAGGGGGTTGCTGCAGCTCAGGAATTATTGGCCATATAAAATTAATAGATTCTTATGAGTGATTCTCTGAGGTGCTTCCCAGAAACCTTTTAACTTTTGCTTTCAGGTCTTATGGGGAGTGGCTGAGGGAGCTGGGATTGTACAGTCTGGAGAAGAGGAGGCTCAGGGGAAATCATATCACTCTCTACAACTGTGTGAACAGAGACTGTAGTGAGGTGGGGGTCAGGCTCTTCTCTCAGGTAGCAGTAATAGGATGACAGAGAATGGCTCTGTGTTGCACCAGGGAAGATTCACGTTGAATATAAATAAAAATTTCCTCTCTGGAAGAGTGGTGATGCATTGGAACAGGCTGTCCAGGGAAGTGATGGAGTCCCTGTCCCTGGAGGTGTTCAGCAGGCATGGAGATGTGGCTCTCAGCGATGTGGTTAATGGCCATTGATTGGGATGTGTTGACGGTTGGACTAGATGATGTTAGAGGCCTTTTTCAACCTTAATGATTCTATGATTCTAATTTTATCTCACTACAAGTTATTTGCAGTTTGAAGTAAGAGGCCAGGCAGAAGAGCACAGGGGTCTATGCATTTCTGCGGCACTGGCAGCAATATCACCACTAGCAGAATTCTTTTTTTTAAGAGTGATTGCTTGGTATTTAGGTCATTTCCTTGACATGGTAGGAAAAACCTTTTTTAGTACTACCAAGTCGCACTGCACTGTGGGAGGAGAAATCTGGCTTCGGCAGTGGGTTGTTTCCATGCTTTCAGGACATGTTCTGATGGCCAGCACTGAGCCCTGTCCCAGCAGGAGCGGCACAGAGTGAAGAATGACCGCTGCTCATTCATCATGGCACGGAGGTGAGGATGTTGTGCACCGCTGGCCACCAGGATGAGAAAGTGCAAGAGGGACAGAGCTGCAGTTAGCTGCAGAGTTTAGCACTGCCTGTGTTTAGCTTGTGTGTTACAGCTGCAGAGAAAAGTCCTCCAAGCACACAAGACAAAGTTTGTCTGTGGCTGACCTGCACATGGAGCTGGCGTGATGTTTGCTTTTCCTCTTGAGTTTCATGATGTCATTCTTCCTCTGCCAGCCTTCATGCACTGCACTGTTCGCTTGCGGGTTAGAGAGGGGGATAATGCTTTGCTTTAATTGCCCTACTGTGCAGCGAGTTCTCAGCCAAGGAGGAATATTTGGCTGCTGCAGGTGATACGCATTTAGCAACTTGCAAAACAATCTCAAGGACCACTGAAGCTGCTGCAGGGGGGCAGTCACTGAGCGTGTCCCAGCCCAGCCATCACCGCTCATCCTCCCCTTTAGCGGCTGCAGCTTTCCACCCAAGCCATGTTTCCTTTCCACATGAAAGAGGTATTTTTCAAAACAGAACAAGTATCTCTTTTCCTCTGCGGGTGACTGCACAAACAGGGCCTCACGCTGGCCCTTCTGACCTGTTTCATAGCAACGTTCAAACAAGTTACTAATATTGTAATATTTTATGTGTCCTCATTGGCCATGGCTCTGTGGTAAGCCAGGCAGGATTTGGCTAAAGGAAAAAAAAGTCTGAAGCTCTACAGGTGTCAGTAGGAAATGGAGGCAGCTAGAATGAAAACAGCCAAGTTTCCTCATTCCTGGTGCCATCTAAAACTCTGCTGCTGGTGGACTCCTCTAGCAAGTTAGTGCTTTCCAGAGGCTCTACATGACCTGCAGAAAGGGAAGGTGGAGACACGAGTTGTACTGACATTAAAAGGGAGTAGAAAGAAGGATGACTGCTCAACATCATAGAGCTATCAGCAATGGGGAGACAAGAGGGAATGGCCAAGCACTGAAGTACTTAGTGGCCCAAGACCATGGTCTTGTCAAAAAAGAAGGGATTTGTCATGCTTGACTGTACCCATTCTCCAATTTCTCAGCTGCACTGGCTCTGTTTCATAACCATCCCCACGTGTCACAAATGAAAACTGATGCTGAGTAGCACAAGATAAGCCATGGATAATCAACTCACGGCCTCCAGAGTGATAACACACCCTGCTCAGCCATTTTTACAGACATTTAGCTAAATTCCATGTCTGTGTGCCCCCAGGTCTACCTCCCCATCCCCTGCATCCCCTGGGGGCATGGTAGGCTGAGATAGGAGAGAAAGATGGTAGCACTGCCTGACATCAAACCTGTCTCAAGCAGGTACTGCATTTGGGTTCACTGTCCTCAGCTAGAGGCAACACAGATAACAAGGTAATCCAACACTTCCAGGCATCAGGGACTGTATTACAGCGCAGAGGTAAAG